CTATGTAATGTCTATTAAAATAAGCAAGAACTGATAATTTTTCTACATTTTATTGAAATTAAATAGTTTATTTTATTCAGTTTAATGATTACCAGTTTTAAAACTGATTTTTTGAGGTTTTCTCCCATAGTTTATCAGATAGAGAATCTTTAAAATTGTTTGAGTAATGAAGCAATACTTCTTTAGCAAAATAAATAAAAACAGCAAAAAATTATAAAGAACTACTCATGATATTGAGAAAACCTCTTGGTAGTATGTTGAATAATCAAGAAGAATTTAAAAGAAGCCTAAATCAACAGTACAGGTGTTTATTGTACTCAGCCTAATAAAATATGATCCACTTGGTCTGAAGAGGATAATAGGTAAGGGCACGGAGAAAATTTTTAGATTTTTTCGTCATTTATATACTCGCCTTTCCTTTTTAGGTTACGAAGCAACAGATTTTTAGTGTAACTTATATAAATAAAAAATTTAAAAATAAAAATATTTGGTATCCAGAATAAAGAAATGAAATGAAAAACAATTGATAATGATGACAATCTTTAAAAAATTCAAAAAATATGTAATGCAAAGTTGGCTAGGATTGATATTGTTTTTCTTTTTTGGGAGAAACAAAGGATATTGTAACTTGTAGCAGCGCTGGTGCTTCATAATGGTAACGATCACGCTCTTTGTTTGCGCACTGGTCATATGACATTTTACCTTCACTTCATTAGATATTTTACAACGATTATTGTTTTCGATCCTCTCTCACGTGTCATGGCTATCTGTTCTCATGGTTTATTAAAGGCATTGAAAGAGAAATAATGTCAGAAGCTTTAAACAATGAAATTTAATATCAGTTAGTAGAGTGAACAGGGGTGAGCACAAAGGCATAGAACAAAGGCAGGAATGAAAACACATAATTACTATATGCCAACAGCTTCAATGTGATCTAAATCATGTTCATTTAGCATCATATGGCATTTCTAAAGCACAAGTTTCAACAAAAGGATAGAAAACAAAACCTGTAATATTCAATGTCACAGAGAACAGTCAACATGCTAGAAATCATTAAAGAAATTTGAACAATTTTAATCATAAGTTTACCATAATATTCTGAATTTGGTCAGACAGATCAGACTTTTTAGAAATACTATACATTGTTTAGCAAACCCGCCACCCATAACAATAATGATTTTGATTAAAAATAAAATTGTATTTTTAGCCAGTTAACGCACCCACCGCCATGAAAATGGATTTATTTTTTATTATGCCCACCACCACTTTGAAAACCTCCAAAATAAAAAATCATATTTCTTCATAGTTACATAAATTTTAAGCAATCAAATTTTAACCAGTTTAATTACTATTGTTTACTCATACAGTAGCCTAGCATTGCAGTCTTTGTGATCATGAGAATCTCCATCAAACTCTTTTCGCTAGTAAATGTTTAAATAAAAAGCAGACCTCAAAAAAAAGGAAGAATGTGACATACGAGAAATATATTTTAGGGTTTTGGTCTTTATTTACAGTATTTTATTGTAATCTTATAAATTTTTAAGCAATATTTTAGTCAATTAGATCTTTGTTAAATATTTGTGTAGTACTTTGCAGTTTAAATGTCAACAAAGTGTCAACTTTTATGACACAAAAAAGTAGTGAAATTCCTAATTGTTATTTATATGAAAAGCAATACATTAAAAATGAAAGTATGTCATTACAAATTGGCTAATAAATTAATCTAGGAGAAAATATTTTACACTGTATAAATGGAATTCCAAGAAGATCAAGTCAAAAGTTGTTGTGTTGAAATCAGAGGCTTAGGGTAGTATACAAAATAAATGGTGAATGAGAAAAAAATGCCTTTGTCTGGTCTCGCTACACTAAGTCAACAGGCCTTTCACAATGCCTAGCATTCACAATACTCTGCCACACAAACCCCACATACCTGAATCTGTGGAGTGTAATCACAATCTTTACAGTATGTGATTTCACATGGAAATTGTGGTCATATCAAATGCAATGGTGCCTTTCATGGCCTACATTCCTTAAAATTGGACCGTTACCTATCCAGAGGGCTTGTCTGCGGCTCGATTGCCAAGCTACAAAGTCTATCAGGCGATTCTGGTCAGAGGAACCGGAGAATCAGGTTGGACAAAGACATTTCTAAACAATCGTATTAAACATTTAACCTTCTTTTTAATTCCTATTGAGAAAAGTTGTGTTTTTATGGATTAAAAGTAATTATGGCTGTGAACTAATGAGCGTGATGCACTCCTCAAGAACTATAATTATAATATAGGCCTAATCACTCTAAAAACAGAGTTACCTATGAGGAAAATATTATCATTCGTAGAACCTCCATAAAAATCTATATTACTGTTCTTTATCAAAAATTAAAAAAAAACATAAAAGACCTAGAAAAAAATGTTTGTGCTTCTGAAAATGAAAATTCTCTTGATGAAATGCCTCCGCCACCAAATGTTACCTGTACACTGTATAGCCCAACAGTTTATTTTTTGAAAAATGATTTCAACCAAAAATGACTCCAGGATATTCTTGATGCCTACGACTGTCGGTCACACACTTTTTCCATCCCCGAATCTTGGATTAGAGCAGAAGTTCTAACTTTTATCGGTTGTGTAACATGCAGGGGTACCAAGTCTTCTGTAAGTGGCGGAGGTTTCCCAAAAATCGGGGCCTCTCCCCCAACCAGACTAGAATCTCCTGTAAAATAACTTGTGTCCCGCAAATTCAATAAATCTGCATGTTTTCACTACTGCATTACCCCTTTATTATCATTTGTCACACGGAAGTCAGAGTAGATGGGTTAACACTCTGCAGCAAAGCTATAAATTACAATTGTGATAAGATAGGTTGTATAAACAGAGCTCCCGGAAATGACATCTTCCAAATTGGGATCCCTGAACATATTTCTCTGAAGGCGCAATATACTGTACAAATTATAAAATTTTGTTGAAGCAAAAAGAACAAGCATTTTTAAAATGTTTTCACTATAGGTGTTTCTACTTAACTATTAATAAATGACTTATTAATTGCATATTATGCAATTAACTTGAGAAAAATGTCCTTAAGGGCAAGAAACAAGTAAACATAGGCCTAATTAATAACTTTGTTGATGATAGCGTCTTTTATCATGCCACTATCACGCACCTAGTGACTGCTCAAAAAAGATGGTTTATAGTTAGCCTTAAAAAAAAGAGAGGTTAGTTTTCAATGGAAAATAGCAGTGCATTCCAAAGCATTGGAGCAGCAACAGAAAAAGCCTCAACTATGTATGAAACCACGCCAGTCCAACCTCAATTTTAGTTTCAATTTTCTAGTTCCCTTTTTCCGAACAATAATTTTTTCAATAATTTTATTTTCTTCAAATCTCAGAATTTACAGCCTATGCTTTTTTTGTTGCTTATCAATTTACATAAAAATGGATTTTCTTTACTCAACCGTATATATAAAATGAGGCTTAAAATAGCAAATTAAGATCAAAACAACGGGGTCATCTTATACCCACAACAAATACACATTTTTGATTTTTAAATCATTCAATTGTGTTATGTGTGGATTGTCCGTAACACACAAATTTGATACTGAAATGAAGCTAAACGTTACCTATACACTGTATAGCCCAACAGTTTATTTTTTGAAAAATGATTTCCCCCAAAAATGAATCCAGGATATTGTGAAACAATGGGAGGGGGTGGGGGAGGGTCGTCTAATAATACCCAACATTAAAAAAACGTCCAAAAATCTTCCTAAACTCAGCGGTTGTCTTATACGCGGATTACATGCGCAAGAATATAAGGTACTTGTATCTTTAAACATAAAGTATGGTAAAAATGATTGAAAAAACTACTCTTTTATATTCCATTGACAATGACATACTGTACAGTAGATGTATTCTTAACACATTAACATTAAAGCCCAATTCCCAGCAAAATTTCACTAAAAAAGATTTTTTTAAATAAAAAATGCATATGCATTACTCTAATTATTATAAACCATGGAAAAATATTGGCATAAATTTTAGTTTTACTCAAAAGGATTAAAAAATGAGAACTAGAGATTATTTCTCATAGGAGATTACCATTTTCTTGACAACTTCTTCGTTACTAGGCAAATTCAAACTCAGAGGTTGTAGATCGTATCCGTTGGAATGCTCTCGCTTTTGTGTATATATAGTCAATAAAGTCACAGAGTGTGCTCTCTGTAATGAGATTAGTTTTTGTACTTCGTATCCCACACACTGCAGTTGATCGAGTAGGCCTGGGATAGAGTATATTTGTTTAATTGTCAAAATCTCGGTCAGAACTATTTTTTTAAAAACAAATTTGAAAAAATTCCAATGAAATATTATATTTCACAAGTATCAATGCTAGCAACGGAAAATATAAGTTGTACAAATAAATTCTTAAACTTAGTAAGACACCGAAGAAAAAGTATTTGAAGGTCAATACTACAATCGGGAAAGGCTGATAGGATCATAAGATGGATTTGTAAATATTTAAAAACAGAAGAAATGGGTAGGCCCCTTCAAGAAAAGATTACTGTTTTAGGTATTGTGAAAAAACTATTCTGAAATGTCCTAAGATACTGGGCTTCGTGAAGTACATGATTTAGGAAGAGGGGCCTAGGCCTAATGGTACATGGTCATTGGAATTCTAAGCTAGCCTAGCGCCTAGGCTAGCCTAGATCTAGGCCTAGCCGAGGGCAGGCGACCTATCTAGGCTAGCCTAGAGGAGGAGGATAGGCCTAGCCTAGGCCTAGACAAAAACAAATACGCGATCTCATTTCATCATGACGTAAGGCTAGTTTAGTCGCAAATGATTACTACCTAGGCCTAGATTAAGACAAAACTAATGCCATTTAATACTTTACTGAAATTTAATTGAGCTAGGCCTAGGCTAGCCTGACATTGACATTCATAACCACACACCCACCACACCGCCTCCCTCTCTTTCCAAGAAGAGTTAATTAATGTCAGACTTTAATATACGTACCTGTCGCCTGCTGATGATGATGAGCGACTAAACAAAATAAACACACAAATAATCCAACTGTTTTTCAACAGCTTTCCTCAATAAAAAATCCGTTTATATATTATTTCCAAAGAAAAGACATTGGGTACGTTGTGGTTCAGCAGGGAAACATCTCTCTCCATTGAATTTCAAACTGTGTAGTGGAGCGATCATCGTCTGTCGTCTGCTCACCGCGGCCGGCCCGACAATTAAGCAAGTAGTTTTTTGGTGCTGATGATAAGAGGGCGCTCTTCTCAGTACAACAACACAGCCGTGTACAACAATAATATTATTTTTTCAGTTGATATTGTTATTCTTATAATGGTAACTTTTATGTATCTGTATTTACTTTTTCAGTTTTGTATGGGCCGAACGTCTCCTTGTCGGAGTGTTCCTATATTATACAGGAATGAACCAATAAATCTTATCTTATCTTCTATAATCGTCATTTTGTGGGTTTAATCGTATCTTTATCGTCTGATCGTTTTGACTTTAAACAAATTTATAGCATGGAGAAATGAAATAGATTAATTAAAATTAATAGATTATAGATTTAAATTGTTTCCCTCCATAGTGCGTCTGGCACATACACCATCCATGAATATAACACAAAGTTACTTCAACTAATGAATTAAACTACTACAAAATCATTTAGTGTTTATGCAGCGGCGTCACCAACGGAGTGGGGCCAGAGCCGCCAGATTTTGGCCTGG